GGAAACTGATCATTTTTTCAGGATTCTTTGATGAATAGAAAGTGCAAAAGAAATATTTAGTAACATTATAAATGTCTTTACTGACACTTTTGATCAATCAGAAGCATCGTTGCTGAATGAAAGTAAAATTTTCTTTAAAAAAAAAATACAAACAAAACAAAACAAAAAAACAAGCTTTTTATGGTGGTGTATGTTCCTATTTGATGTGAAGAAGTACAACAGTGATTACTCTGCTAGCACACATCTGTGTGAACGTCTGTACGTTCACCCAAAATCACCTTGAGAGCAACTGGTAAAAAGTTCAAAAATGGCTTTGAAAGTTTCCAAATGCTCATTAGAGCCACTTTCACTTCACCTACTGTACATTAAGGAGAATTTAAAAGACAGATGAATCAGTGACGGCATTCAGAGTCAGTCAGTGATTAGATAATCAAGAGAGAGTGATAGGGGAGTGAACCTAAGATCACAGGGTTAAAGGTGGACATAGCAGCTGCGACCTAAAGACACTCCGTGTGAATTTCTTCAGTAAATTTCCATCTCCAAGGCCACCAGATGCCCTCAGACTGATCTAGGGCCAGAGGTCACAACTTAAAGTGACAGGAAAGCAAACAGCTGGATTTCAAGTGCTCAGACTGTGTAGCCTTTGCAAAAGGCCTGTTTTTTTTCAATTTGATGTCACCAATCTTGTAAATATTGGCAAAACCTGTGGTTACTTCATCAAAATAAAACAAAAGTGTTCAACTGTCTCAACCCTGTGCCTTGGAAATACAGCCTTGTTTCCAGGCAGAAAGATTAAAGAAAAGATATATGTGCCTTTGAATTGCAGGAAGGTTCACATTAACTTCAAAGCCTGCAGGAGGAAGAAGAATCAATTTATTCTCAAACATAAAGGTGTGTATATAACAGTAATGTATCTCCGAGTGGACTGTTATGGTGGAACGGCTTCAGACACAAAGAAGAGTAACGCTCCTGGTGTGCAGTGTTGACACATTGTTGGCTTATCTGCAGGATTGCTACCATAAATAAATATAGCGGTGTTTGACAGCTGATAAGCTTAAAATCACATTCGCACTTGTAGGTCAGTGTGTCTATAGTGCCGTCCACCCATTTACAGCTCGTATCATTCACCTTTCCTCTCAGTTCAAGCTTTTCTGTAGTCAAGACATCAGCCTGCCACAAATAAGAAGTGACTAAACCGATTGAAGTCAAGATCGCTGACTGCATAGGAAACCAGATCTTGAGATGTAATACTATATTGATCCCTTTTTCTCTTGAACACACGGCAAGCACCCCGGTAACCAGAGCATGGCGGCTGGCAGAGGCAATGGGGGAAACAGAAAGTAGCCTGTAAATCCTGTTTACTTTGCGGCGAATCTGTAAAGTGGGATAAGAAGCACAAAGAGCAGTCAGTGGTGCATGACACGCAGACATATGGCAGGGAGAGGCGTCCAGCTGTTCCGCTGTCCTGGGGTTACAGTAATGAGCCGGAGGCTTCATTGAGCAGACTGAAGCCTCATCAATCCCTTTTCACCAGTAAGCCTCAACACTTCCAAACGCCATTCCCGCTCACCTCATCTCAGGCACAAACCAGCCTCAGACAAGCCTCCGGAGCATCTGCTTTTAGCATCCTTGACATTATATTCTGTGGCTCAAGCCTCTGCTCTCCATGGCCTCTCCAGATGGACCACAGCATTAGCTCATGCCAGCTGAATTCCATCAGGTAACCGAACCATTGGATTCCAAGTCTATGGCACTTTTTGTGGATAAAGGATCGAATTAAAGGAAATATACAAGGGCTTGAGGCGGACAAGACCATTTGGGGGTGGTGTGATTCAGGAATGGTAACCACAAGGTTGATGGTTTGATACCTGCAAGATGCGAGCCATGAGTCGTTACCATTTTGGAACCACATGGCGCCAAGCTATGGCGTTAAAGTTGCAAAAACTAATTCTTATGGTTCTGGTTGTACCTAAAGAATTTAAGATTCCAAGTCTTTGTCGAAATGCATTGAATTGGAATTACATTGGCCAAGTGTAAGCAAGCTCACAACTTACTTACAATCAATCAATCTATCTACTTCTCTTCTCCGTAAGGCCTACAAACTTCAGACTTTTTTTCCAAAGCAATCAAAAGCTGTTTCAACAAACTTGCTTTACCAGTGTTACAAACTAATTTAATTGTACTATTTCCTTACATTCATGTTCGAAATGCAGTTCTATATCCTGTTTGCTAACACTATTTTAATTAAATTTAAATCAGAATCAGAAATAATTGAGGGTGCTTTTCTTCATCTTAAAAACTAGTTCTTAAAATGAAGGTAATTTTTTAATAAATGAATACTTTTATTCAGCAAGGATTCCAAATTGATTAAAAGTGACAGTAAAGACATTTACAATGTTACAAAAATATATTTCAAATAAACACTGTTCTTTTGAACCTTCTATTCATCATAGAATCCTGAAAGAGAACATGTATCACAGTTTTTTCAAAAATATTATGCAGAAAATTGTTGATAATAATAAGACCTAAGAAAAACAGTGATAATAATAAGATGATTCCAAATGAGCACCAAATCAGCATATTAGAGTGATTTTTGCAGGACTACGAGACACTGCAGACTGGAGTAATGACTACTGTAAACTCAGCTCTACCACCACAGGAATAAATTAAATTTTAAAATAGAAATCAGTTTTTTTTTTAATTGAAATAATATTTCACAATATTACTGTTTCTACTGGATTTGTGATCAAATAAATGCAACCTTGGTGACCCTAAACAACCCCATACTTTTGAAAGGTAGTGTATATCTAAAAAATAGAATATTTATGAGAATATTGGTTGATATTTTGAGGTAAAATAATTGCAATACTATGAAATATTATTTTTCCCCCAACCACAATCCTGTATGTCATGGACGATAAACTTTAAAAGTGTGGTAATTACAACTGCAAACAGCATGCAAACCACAGCACAAGCAAAACAACAATCCCAGCATACTTTCCTTGAGACTCCCACAGATAAGCCTCTCCGACATGCACTTCACAGCTGGTGGATACTAAACACGACTGAGCTCATCCAAAAATCCCATCCACAATCCCACCCAACCCCCCTATTCACAGAGAGAAGCATCACAACATTATCTTATTAACCTCGCAAAACTTCTCTCAAACGTTCTCAACATGGCCAAGTAATTTACATGCTGGACGTGTCAGTGGTAGCATATGCTTAATGCACTGGGTGCGTTGGCAAAGAAAATGGAGTGGTCATTATCATTCTTAATAGCATTTTGAGTTAAATCGATGTAGTTTTAATTGCAGCTGCACACTACAAGCGTCCCATGACACAATGAGAGTGCTTCTGCAGCTAGAGGACAGTGGAGGGGGACTTTCAATGCCAAATCTTGTTTTAGTCGGGGGGTAGAAGGATGGCATGGTGGGGTTGGGGGTTAAAGGCTTTTCCTAACGCTGCTGATCTCCGGCTCATGATGTGCAGAGATGGAGCTGTTTTCCATTAAGCTAAAAGTGGAATGAAGTCAAATCTGAAACATGCATTAATTTGTTTATTTGGTGTTCCGTGTAAGACTCCCCACAGCAGACACAGGTCAAATAAAAAATATCAGCGGAAGCACAGCTTGTCGAAGATGTCTAATAACTGGGAACATCAAGGAGCATCACAATAGACTTCTGCTGTCATTCTAGATTACTGCATGCTTGATTTTTAAGATCATGGCAACACTTTTAATAAGATTCTATTCGTTAACTGCATTAGTTAACGAACTAAGGAAGAAAAATAGGCTACTAAAGCATCGCAGTTAAAGTAACTTTTAACATTTACCAATACTGTAGATTATTAAAATCAAAAGTTGTCTCAACTCTCTCACATACTGGTAAAAAATGTATAGCCTGAATGCACTGTAAGTCGCTTTGGATAAAAGCGTCTGCTAAAGGCATAAATTATTATTAATTAAATTATTCATATTTATTTAGACCTAACCTATCATGAACTTACAACGAATGGCTTTATTTTGATTAACTAATGTTAACTAAGATGAATAAATACTGTAACAAATGTATTGCTCATTGTTAGTTAATGCTATTAATGAAGAGCGGATGGAACCTTATTGAAAAATTATACCACAAGAATTTTATATATTTTCTGAAGAATATTTCCTCTGCATAGCAGGCACCAATCCTTCAAATGAAAAGATATAAATAATTACACTTATCCGTGTAAAAATAAAATATTATGAAATATCAAATGTCAATAAATGACCATGACTTCTCCATATATCCCTGACATTAAAAATATATAAAATATAAAAAGTAATATAAAACATCCCTAATATTTCCAATGTGAATATGCAAACACATTATACACAATAGCAAACAAGCTATTATTCATATGCACCAAATATGAATCATAAAGGTCTCCAAGTCTATAAAATGTAACTGTTGTACAGCAAATCATAAACTGTTCACCTAAAACAAATATATCATCATTTACTCAAGGCAGAAAAAAAAAAAAAGATGCACTGAATGGTGACAGACTGCCCAAAATGTATTTTGTGTTCATATAAGGAAAAAAAAGTCAAAAAGGTCTTGATAAATGTGAGGGTCAAGAGAAAACAGTAAACAGTCACTTAAGAGTTGCAAACGATTCTCTTGTTCTCAACACTTGGTGCTGACAGGTACAATTTCTAGTGTCATTTACTTCTAAGGGTTTAAACGCAGTGTTACAAGTTTTACAAAGTAGCAAATACACAATACTGCCATCCCATAACTAAGAAGTCTTATATTGCAGGAGGATGTTATACAAGCACCAACATTCATTATATTATGTTGATGTGATTCATGCGTTGCTGTCACATATTAGTGATCAAACTGACCTCTATGCACAAAGCTGCACTTAGCGTGGCCCAATGATGCTGCAACGTGAAAGAGTAGAAAAACGATGCATATAAACACAGATGTGTTTAATGACACCCGATGTGCTTGTCTTACCGGGAGAGTAAAGCTTGGCGAGCTGTCGGGCCCCGGCGTGCTGCGGGCCCCAGCGAGGTGTGGTGCTGCGCGCAGCCGACCCATGTTCATTCCCGTTCGGATCCTCCTCTGCCATAGACCGATGCCTGATCTCCGTCTCTGACAGTAGCGCCGCAGCCATGCTCCCTTATGATGGCCAGTTTTCAGAGAAAATGCATTAACAATGACGCTGTATCGTGCATTTAGTAACTAATACACAAGGGTTTAGGTTTAGCGCTGAATGGCCCTTTAACCCACTGAGGCCCCTACTTCTGTGAAACACACCCGGAACTAAAATACGCACGACCTGCCTGTCTGATACTTCGCTAGTATAAACAGACATATTATAATAATTATTGCTTACCTTGTTTCATCTCATTAGCTAAATGACTGATAAATATTGCTGCCCACAGGGCATCCGATCCAGGCCTTTAAACTGCCTGAAGAAAAGGAATATTTGCAAAACTTTTCTTGTGCTCTGTGGTGTGGAGTGTTCTTAGGGACAGTCGTAAAATGTTTGCGTTGTGACGCGAAACAATCGTTACAATCACTGGCTGTTACTCTCGGAGGATTAATAGAATTAACCAAATTATATTATATTTTAAATGTTTACTAAGGATTTGTGTGTGTGTGTGTGGTTATACAGGTGTTGCCCTTTAAATGTTATAATCGTACAAAACTGCGCGGTATTTTATTGATGGTCCCTAACAGCTCATGCAAGTCTATCATAAGACTTTGAGCCGCTGATAAGAGAAAGAAGCATCTTAAGGCGAAACTGAGTGCACACGACTACTGTACTACCTGTTGATAAGAAACAGATAAGATAATCATATCTCATGTTTATGTTAATCGGTTTGATTATGAGGTACTGAAACGCTCACAGTAACAATATAATACAAAATAATAATATAAATCATATCACTGTATATTAATATATTTTTTCTGTTTTTGTCGGATGTATAATAATATAGCATAGTATAATAGAATAGAATAGAATATAGGCTAATCAACAAAACAAACAGAAATAGAAAAAAATATATAATTTATAACGGTATGTCAAAAAACAAAATTGTATTCAGTCAACAGTAATTGCATGTACATCATTGAGATTTGTAGATTAATTAATTTTTTTACTTGCTAGCTAATTAGCTGTTAAGCATTATATAATGTGGTAATGTTGGTGAATTCTCTTAATTATGAAGTGTTTTAGAGAAAATCTATCTCGTTATATTGAGAGTCCTTGGGATGCTGGGTGTCTGTGTGGGGGTCTGTATAACCCTCTGAGGCTGTGAAGATTGGCAATGCCTAGACAGACAGATAGATTGGTCAACGGATTTGCTAACTTAATCATATCCTCAAATATTTTAAATAATTCTACCACAAAATACAAATGCAGTTTCAAACTTTGCCTCATTTGGAAATCTCCATTTACCCTTAAAAAGCACATGCTCATAATCAGTGTTGGGGAAAGTTACTTTTAAAAGTAATGCATTACAATATTGCGTTACTCCATAAAAAAGTAACTAATTACGTTACTTAGTTACTTTTTATGGAAAGTAATGCGTTACGTTACTTTTGCGTTACTTTTTAATTCTGGACAGGGCTTGCTTGTTTGTTTTTAAAATAAAAAAGTTATATTTTTGGCAAATATATAAAAGCCTTTTCACACCAAAAGTGAAATGAATAAGCCTCAGGCTGAAGGGAAAGTAAATTTACGTCTGTACAGTAGAATGCAGAAGAAGACATTTCAACACACTTCAGCAATAAAAAAAACACACAAATGTTTGTCTAGAGTAACTTTTGCTTATTAGTACGGTTGAACTGGATCATCGAAGGTCAGAAGCAAAGATATTGGTTAATAGAATGGGATTAAATACATAAAGGATATTTGTGTTGTTTAACATTTAATTATTGCAGATTTGCGTCATACTCTGAGTTGCATTACTTTTATTAATTTTGAGGAATACGGAATCTGTTTTTTATGAGTGAGATGAATTGATGCATATTCATATTTATTTTGAACTACAGTAACATCTGATTTCTCTCAACATGGGGACAGGAGAGCTGTCAATCAATAAATTGGAAACAAAAGTAACTTGCGTTACTTATTTGAAAAAGTAACTCAGATATTCTCTTGTAAATTATAAAGTAATGCGTTACTTTACTAGTTACTTGAAAAAAGTAATCTGATTACATAACTCGCGTTACTTGTAATGCGTTACCCCTAACCCTGCTCATAATACAGCACAGATTTGATAAACTGCAGTACAATGAAATACTTAAACAACTGAAACACCAGTAGCCTATTAAGGGCATCTTTCAGTACTATTGGGGATTTGTGGATGATTCATAAAATCACATGCTAGTTTTCAAGTATTTAGGAGTTACTCAGATGGTGTGCTGAACCCTGTTTCCCAAGCGGACAGGTTCACAGGACCCCCGGGGCCCATAGTGTATCGATGCGTTCCGATGGCTGATTTCTGGGAACAGCACAGACCTTCTGTCCGGCTCAAGTTATGAGACTCAGCGGCCGAACCAGCTGCTTAAACACATGGATGCAATTAAAGCAGAAACTGCACTGGTAAAAGAAACAGTACTTTAAATAGCTGTTTCTGCCCTTATTCAGTGAGTCACAGGCATTAAATCATCTGATGATCAGTGTTGGGTTTTTCCTTATTTATAGCAATCATAATGCTAAATATTCAGGGTAATTTGCATCATAGTTCTGCATTATGATTTTTCTTTTACATTATACAAGATAAAATCTTCTCTTTAAAACCTGATGAATAAATTTGATGAAGTATACCAATGACAAGTGCCATTTTCCCATGATTTTCAGATTGTCATATTTTACAGTTGAATTCATGTGACGGCGAGCAGTGTTATAATCACCATATAAAATTGGCAAAGACTCAAGTCTTTGATTCAGATCCTCTTGCACTGAATTAAACACTATGAAAGCAGCATGAATCATGGTTTGTGATGCAATATCGAATTACTGTTCTCCTCTCCTGCAGATGAATCATAGTAGACTTGAATTTGTAAAAGTTTTTACCACGTTAACATGTATAACAACATCCAATGCAAATATTTGGATTACTATTATTTTTAATGTAAAAATAAACTAAGCCTGTGTTAAGCATGTTCACACCCGTCATCAGTCATTTAATTTTTTTAATGCAAATGATCTGTTTTATGAGTAGCATTACTGTAGTTCCCAGATATTTATTGTTAAATAGAAAGCATGACAAGAAGAATAGAGCTCACACAGCATCAGGGGAACAGAGCCACTCTGCGCTTTGAAAGAACACTCACTTCAGATGCACGGATTCCCTTTATTCATGATTTATTTATTTGTTTATTTTCAACTGTACTAGTTTATTGCAATCTGGTTAATTCACATTTAAAAAGCAGACATCATCCAGTTGCACTGAAATCAATGATATTCATTTTTTACAACATCCATAAGGCCCATGTACTGGAAAATCCAATCAAAACCATTATGTTTTTTATTTTTTCTTTACATGTTTTTTGTCTTTTTACTGTAATTAGAAAAAAGAAAATATATAACAATAATAATAGAAAGGAAAAATATTACGACTGGCAAGCAATCACAGCACAGCACAAGTACCTATTTACTGCAAGAAATAAATGGTACAAATCAATCAACAAATAAAAAAGGGCTGAGAATATATGCATTGAAAATAACAAAATTGGCACGTATGAAGTTTGATACATGAAGCAACAGAGGACAAGATATGTATTTCTAGAGATTAAAATCAGGCAGAGGGTGTCTTTTCCTTCCGTTCCCCCCCCATCTTTTGTCCCCCCAAAAATCAAGGAAAAACAAAAAGAAAACGGGGAGAAAATAAGGAACACATAACTAGGAAGAAGGGACGATAAAAAATACTGTACGTAGAATACCTTTTTCTCTCCATCTCCTTTTTTTCCTCTCCTTTTCTTTTTTAATAGCATATCCCATTAATATTCATTCCCCACCGTTCATAATAGCTGCGCCTGGTGGTGGAATCGTTAGAGTTTTACATGTGAGTAGCAAATGACACTTTGATTGGCTGTGATGTTGAAATGTTCCTCCCCCACCGGGCCTGGGTCGGGGTTCTAGGCTGAACCGGGAGTCCTGCGGGGCCCGGTCTCACTGTGCGTGCTGGCTCAGTGTGTGGTTCTGCAGGGGAACAGAAGAGAACACATGAGGAGAGAAATAATAAGCTACGTGCCCACACCTCCACCCGTCTCCTTCGCTCTCTCCCTCTATCCATCTCTCTATCCATTTACCCACCAGGCCTGTCCGTCCATCTCAAGGCTAGCAGCCCCACTTTGACAGAGGAGTTGGAGCTCTGCAGCCACGAGCGAACACCTTCCTTTCTTCCCATTTTCTTTCTTCTCCACACCCTCCCATTAAATTTTGGGCACATGTGCACTTGCGATCCCATTCATCCACCCACGCGCACACACGCCACACTTCCGCACCGGGCAGAGAAACATAACATTCGTCCTCCGCTTGATTTAGAGTTCTCCGTTTCTAATGCAAAAACACTCCTTTGTTTATTCTGGAGTATTGGATACATGTTTATGAATCTTTTAAATCAGCTCGTTCCATGGACTCCTGAGAACAGAACATACATTTATAATAAAATATAAAACCTCTCCGTATTGAAGTGTAGAAGAAAAGTAGGAGAGAAAAGAGTTTAGTCAAATTACACTCTTAAAAAAAACAAAGGTTTCAAAAAGGGTGTTTAAAGAACCTTTCAGTGAACAGTTCTTAAAATAAAATTTTTTTAGTATAAAGAACATTTTAATAATCCAAAGGAATTGTTTTTTTTAACCAATATAAAGAACCCTTTTGTCCAATGTAAAGGTTCCATGGATGTTAAAGTTTCCTCATAGAACCATAGATTCCAATAACACTTTATTTTTAAGAATGTACACTTTAAAAAAACTGGAAATTGTTGAAACAATTTTCACTCAGAAGTTGCTAGTGAATTTTACAACTGATGACAAAGAAATGCCAAGTAACACATTGAATTGAACATGAAATTTTGATGTAGAAAGACAAGAAATAGTATTTTCTTGTAAAACACTGCAAAACACTTTAATATAAAGGTTACAAAGTGGGGTTTTCTCATCAATGCCGTAGAAGAACCATTTTTGGTTCCCCAAAGAACCTTTCAGTGAACAATTCATAAAAGAACCATTTCTTAGTTTAATATTTTGATGATCTAAAGAACCTTTTGTGCAATTAAAAGGTTCCATAGTGGAACCATCAATGCCAGTAAAGAACGTTTATTTTTAAGAGTGAAATCTTTGTTTTATTTACAATTTTAAAAAATCATCATACATTGTACGCACCACTGTGCACAAAGGAAGCCATAATGGCCTAAAAATGGCTTAAAACCAGGATCACATACACAGATCAATCAGTCGTTGAGTGAGGGGTTAAACAGGAGCAGATATGCACAGGCTAAATGGTTATTGTGTTG